ATTCATATCATATGAAAATATTTCTCCTACCTATCAATCCTTTATTGCTGCATCTTCTTCTGTTTCTAAACCTACAAACTATCATGAAGCTATCAAAGATCCTAGATGGATAGATGTTATGAAGGTTGAGATTGAAGCTTTAGAAAACAATCACACTTGGGATATAGTTTCACTGCCAGAAGGGAAATCACCTATAGGGTGCTGGATTTACAAAATAAAATATAAATCTATAGGGGAAATTGAAAGATTTAAAGCAAGATTGGTTGCAAAAGGATTTAGCCAAAAAGAAGGAACTGATTACCAAGAAACTTTATCACAGTGGTAAAAATGAAAACTGTAAGAACTGTTCTAGCAATAGCTGCTACTAAACAGTGGCATATACATCAAATGGATGTATATAATGCATTCCTTCAAGGGGATCTACATGATGAAATATACATGGATTTGCCTCAAGGATTTAGCAGTCAGGGGGAGACAAAACCAGTATGTAGACTTATTAAATTCTTGTATGGATTGAAACAAGCACCAAGGCAATGGAATGCTAAGCAAACTGAGGCATTGCTGAAAGCTCACTTTCATCAGAGTCAATATGATCACTCCTTATTCTTTAAGAAGACTTCAGAAGGTATCACTATAGTTTTAGTCTATGTTGATGACATGCTTATAACTGGAGATAGCCTAAAGCTAATTGAAGACACTAAGACAGGTCTGCAGCAAGTGTTCAAAATGAAAGATTTGGGTGAACTTAAATACTTTCTAGGTATTGAGTTTGCTAGATCTAGTCAAGGAATCCTACTGCATCAGAGGAAATACACTCTAGAATTGATATCATAAACAGGTCTGGGAGCCGCCAAACCTGCCATAACTCCTTTGGATTTCAACATGAAGTTAACAACAAAAGAGTATGATGAATATACCAACAAAGGCAAGGATGTTATTTCTGAAGATGAAGAACTGGCAGATCAGAATCCTTATCAGAAATTGATTGGTAAACTGCTATACCTAACCATGACTCGACCAGATATCTCATTTAGTGTCCAAACATTGAGCCAATTCTTACAAAAGCCAAAAAAGTCTCATATAGAAGTTGCACTCAGAATTATGAGATATTTAAAGCAACAACCAGGATAAGGAATTCTTTTGTCCAGTAAAAGCAGCAATGAAATTACAGCATACTGTGATGCTGATTGGGCAACTTGTCCTCACTCTAGAAAATCTGTATTTGGATATTTGGTCAAATTTGGTGAGTCTTTAATCGCTTGGAAATCTAAGAAACAAACCATTGTTTCCAGAAGTTCAACAGAAGCTGAATATAGGAATCTTGCATCTACAGTAGCAGAGTTGATTTGGCTAATTGGATTACTAAAAGAACTAGGAATTGATACTAAACAGCATGTTAATGTTTATAGCGACAGTAAAGCAACCATGCAAATTGTTGCAAATCCAGTTTATCATGAACGTACCAAACATATTGAAATTGACTGCCATTTCATTAAAAGATCTTACAAGGATTGATCACAACAAAGTACATTTCTACAAGAGATCAACCAGCTGACATTCTGAGCACTCAATCGAGTTCAGCATGAATATCTCAATTCCAAGCTAGGAACTTTGAATATTTTTGCACTTCCTAGCTTGAGGGGGAGTGTTGAGAAAGGTGTTACATAAGTCTTTAAAGGGTAGATTAGTTATTTTATTATACTCCACCAATAGGAATCTAGTAGGTGGTTAAGTTAGTTGGACAAGTGAATTATATATACACACATATTGAATAACAGAATAATATTTTTTCTGATTCAATCTCCTTCTTCTCCATTCTGTCTTCTTTCTCATCTTTCCTCTTCCTGCATTTACGCTTCTTGATTCCTCTTCTTCTTCATACAATTTCATGCAAGAATTGTATATATCTTAACATAAAAGATGGAGTGCAAGCTCTTTAGTGGAGTAACAAAAGAAACCTTAAAAATGAGTAAGGAGCCCCACTTTTTTCTCTAGCTCACTCTAAAGTAGAGTAGGTTGATGGGACGACATGCACATTAGAGAAATATAATGGATTTCACATTGATAGAAATCAAGTCCTTGTCTTTCCGAGCACTTCATAGTTTAACTGACTGCTAAACTATTATTCGACTGTTGTAAACAAGTCAAATTAAATGAACACCAAATCATTTGAATGAGTTCTTTATATTTGAAAGTTAGTAGTTTTATACATAAGTAGAGAATTGTTGAAGTGAGATTAGCAGAAATAAGAGGACAAAGAAAAGGAGATCTATAAATTTCCATCCCATCTTGCTGGAGTTAACGGAAAAATATTTGACTTTGAAAAATAAGTTTCTGCTTTTATCAGTTGTCACGACAAAAGATCGGATTTACCCTGTACATTGACAATATATAAATTAGTAAATTTTCTGATATATCGTAGTAGATAATTTGGCTGACTAATCTCACTTTTTGTGAATAATTACTTGTATCGTAAAAAATGAATGTCGATGACCAAAGGGAGAACCCCCTGCTGCTTAACTAATAGGTATTCCATAAATTGAAGGATTAAGAACAAACAACAAAACAAGTTTAGTATGAATGTTAATTGAGGATGCAACTCTTGCAAAAAATTGAACATTCATTAAGTAACAAATAATATTACCTAATTCACGAAAACAAATAGAATAATCAAAATATTACTTCATATAATTAAAATGAGCTTGCAAACAAATTCATAGAAGACCGCATAGCGCAGTGGATTAGCGCGTTTGACTTCGGATCAAAAGGTCGTGGGTTTGACTCCCACATGGTCGATATTTTCTTGTGTTTTTTTTTTGCAATTAAGTAAGCTATTCACTGTAGCAAGACAAATTTTGCTTTTGCTTAATACCCAAGAGAAAGAGTTACTGTTCAATCTTTGTATCTGTTTCCACATTTTTACAGAACTGTGTTGTTTGAATGTTAAGATATCATAATTAAGTTTTAACAACTACAACATCTTCTTATGTTACATAACAAGATGATAATTGAGCTACTTAAGGGATCCAAATAATTCTACCACAGAAAGATGCATATCTGCCAAAGCACTCTTCGTTGTAGCATCATCCATTCCCAGTTTTTGTGCATACTACCTATTACCAGTGGGATCAAATCCTTGTTACACGTGAAAAGAGGAAGAGACAAATAGGTAAAAGAAATGTGACCAAACTTTCCAGATATAAGTGGAATAAAAACAACATCAACCCAATGGGATCCCACAAGTGGGGTAGGAAGAGGCTAATGTGTACGCAGACCTTAACCCTACTCTGGGGGCAAAGAGGTTGTTTCCGAAAGACTCTCGCCTCGAGAGGAAGAGTAGGAACAAATAAATAACAACACGGCCAGAAAAATAATATCAGCTAGGGGTGTTCATAAAAAACCGAAAAACCGAACCAAACTGAAAACCAAACCAAACCGACAAAAAAACCGATACTTTTTTGTTTGGTTTGGTTTTGAATTTTAAAAACCGATCGAATTTGGTTTGTTTTGGTTTTAATCAGAAAAAACCGAACCAAACCGACTATAGGAGTAGCTATTTCAAATTTATTATTACACCTATATATATATATATGTATATTGTTACACAAAGTTTCAAAAATTTTATGGTAAATGTTAATAGTTTGCACTTTTAATATAGTTCTTTACCTTTACATTCTAGTTTGATTGGTAGTTTTCTTTTGTTTAGTGTAAGAATCGATTTCGTGTTAAAAATAACATTTTTAATTGAGTCCTTCAATTATTCATCACTATTCGATTCAATTATCATCAATATATCTTAGTAAATAATAGATTTCTCAAAGGGCAATTGATTTGATAATGTTACATTAAAAATGTGGTCACCAGAATATGTGTTTGGTAGTGTATGTCTTATATTTAAGAAAAAACCGACAAATAACCGAAAAAACCGAAAAACCGAATCGAGAAAAACCGACTTAATTGGTTTGGTTTGGTTTGGTTCTAATATTTGAAAAACCGACTTACTTGGTTTGGTTTCTTTTTAGGGGAAAACCGATCCAAACCGAACCATGAACACCCCTAATCAGCAATGTAAGAACCAGAGAAAAACAAGTGGAAGAAAGCAGTAGCAAAAGCAATAGCAACAAGCAGTAACACGAGAGAGCACTAGAAAACCGAAGCAGAAGATAGTACTAAAACAACCCTAATATTGGCACTCTATGAATCGAAGACAATGTACTTATCAGCTAGCCTTAATAAACTTGGAACGGATCAGAAAAATACATGACGACATAGTACCCTTTTACCCTAATCTTCGACCTCCATACCCTCCTGGTCAGCTAGCCCTAATAAACCTGAAACAGATCAAAAAACTACACGACAACATATTACCCTTCTACCCTAATCTTCAACCTCCATACCCTCCTGTCAAGGGTCATGTCCTCGGTAAGCTGAAGTCACACCATGTCCTGCCTGATCACCTCTCCCCAATACTTCTTAGACTGCCATATACCTCTTCTCCTACCTGCCAATGCCAACCGTTTACTCCTCCTCACTAGGCATCTAGGCTTCTCCTACTCACACGCCCGAACCATCTAAGCCTCGCTTCACGCATCTTATCATCCATAGGGGGCACGCCCGCTTTCTCTCAAATATCCTCATTCCTGATCTTATCCAACCTAATGTACCCGCATATCTATAGCAACATCCTCATTTCAGCTATGTTCAATCTTCCGAAATAAGTAGAATATAAGTGGAATCAAAGTAAAGTTCCGCGAGAATGCTTTGAGAAAAACAAAATCTATATATTTGTTTCCTAATTAAGAGTCAGAACAATAGCACCTATACTTCCTTTGCCGCTAACAGAACCTATTAAGAATGATAAGTTTTTCTTTTAAGTATATTTAGCATGTATATGATAAGAGAAGAAGACTCTCAACTTCCCCTTGGTATGTTGCAAGACAAGTACTAGTAGCTCCAAATTGGAGCAACTGATAGTGCAAACTCCAATACTTGATCAAAAGTGCAAGCATAAGACAAGTTCTGTATATCTAATAAGCGAGAAAAAGAAGGCAAACAAAATAACAAAACTCCAACCTCATAATGCAATAATAGTAGTAATACAAAATATAACATTGCAAAATGGCAAAATGTGATCCTCAACTTTGCTCTGCAACTGCTAACATCACAAACTATCTAAGTTGGATCAATTTAAACCTTAATGGCATACTTTCTAATTGGAAAGTACATCTCTTTCTTCTTCTCCCTTTCGGTCTTCAAAGATGCCTGCATATTGAACCATGATTAAGTTATTAACATGAAGTAAAGAAGCAAGAGTCTGCGCAGCGAAGAAGAGGTGTTTAAACAAGATAATCTATTTCTATGAATTTAAAATAAATGCTCTCAAGTCTCAACATAACATATTCCAGTGTTTACCAGCTTCAATATTACGATTTAGATAGAGGCTATCGGGTCGGTTCTTCGGCAAAAACCTTTAAAGCTTCAACAAAATGATAATGCAACAACCATCCAGGTTTAAACCTATAGTGGCAGCGACAAATAATGACTAGCATAATTCTTTTCAAACAAACATTTTGGTTGAAGTTCAAACCTTGAAGTTCGATCAAAATATCAATCCTAGCATTTCTGAGCAATTGATGGACCTAATTCTGATGCAATATTAATAACTTCCTCATGAAGAAACAAAGCAAAATGAGCATACCATTGCTAGAACAACTTTTTTGTTCGTGATGAATATTGGTGCAAACACTACGCTGAGCTATTTTCAGAGAGGTAGGAAAACTGCTGCTAGGTCTCTAACTCTTCTTATATTTGTATGCTATAGGGGGGAAAAGTTATCTATCTCCCCTTATATTTCCTATTTCCCTAAATCCATACAAACAACGGAGTATCACAAAGGAAAATGATCAAAGACATGTGAACATTAAGGAATCCAAGTTGGAAGGAAGCAACGAATGATATTCAGACAATCTCTTCATATTGTTATTTTAATAATGGTGGTATCCGAGCTGGCACTTGATTATTACACTAGATACCTTCTAACTTCCACAGTTCCACCAACACAAATACCAGGTAACTCTGTCCAAGGCTTAGGCAAATGAAACGAATAACCAATGTTTATTTGTCTCTGCTAGGAGATGCTATTCAGATAATCAGTGACTACAAATGTTGCTGGTTTCCCATTCATGAGATCCATTACATAACTCGTGAAACACAGATGGGAAAAAAAGAATCCTTCCTGAAGATGAAGCTGTCTAATAACATTAAACATTTTAATGCATCACAGAAAATCACATTTCATTTTCAAGTCTGACACTTAAATCCTATAGATATATAACATATATCAACAAACAACATGGAATTAAATTTTCCCGATCATCACTCAATTGAAAGACCAACGAGTGGAACATGTATTACTCCATGAAACACAAAGCATCCGCTTTAGACCGTAATCAGTAAAAGATCAGAACAGCATAGTGATAAAAGCGAGAAAATTAAAATACCTGATGTTTGGTAAGACGTTTACGAATGGCCCTGGTCTTTTTGGGACGAAGGTCAAGCGGCAAGTACTTCTTGTTCTTATAAGCTTCTCTCAGTGCTGTCTTCTGCTTCTGTGATATCACAGTCAATACTTGTGCTATTGACAACCTCACCACCTTACTGAATCAAACCACATTTCATTTCAGACCATTACTCTCTCCATCAAAAAGAAGAAGAAAAATTCACAATTTACAGTAACTATTTATATATTCACTACATCCCTTTTAAGTAATATTTTTGACTAGACACATAGTTATATAAGAAAAGAATTTTGTGTCACTTCTGCTTCTGTGATACTGCATTAACAACCCACATTTCATTTTAGAACATTAATCTCTCCATCATAAAAGACCCACAATTTACAGTAACTATTTATATATTCATTACGTCCCATTTTATGTAATATTTTTTGACTAGCCACATAGTTATAAAATAAGACTTTTGAAGCTTGTACTCTAAAAAAAGCCAAATCCATAGATATGTGTGTGACTTCTGCTTCTGTGATACTGCATGAACAACCCACATTTCATTTCAGAACATTAATCTCTCCATTATAAAAGACACGCAATTTACATTAACTATTTATATATTTACTACGTCCCATTTCAACAAACCCAGTGTAATCCCACAAAGTAGGGTCTGGAGGTAGAGTGTACGCAGACCTACCTTGCGATAGACCCTCGGCTCCCCTACCTTGCGATAGACCCTCGGCTCAGACAATGATGGTTGGTACGTAACACATCACGTGTTGTTTGATCAAGTACATAGTTTAGAAACTTGTAGTGTAAAACAAGATAAGATATTAGTGTGACTTCTGCTTCTGTGATACCACATTAACCTACATTTCATTTCCGAATACTAATTTCTAAATATATTAATTTCATTAGGACAATAAAAAAATTAAAAGGGGTAGAAAAGTTTACATTTTGGAGAGTTTGTTAGGGGCACCGCCAGTGACCTTAGCAACACGGAGGAGAGCAAGTTCCGCTTTAAGATCCTTTAACTGAGCCAAAAGCTCAGTCTTTGATTTTCCCCTCAGCTCATGAACTTTGATTCTTGCTAATACAACCAAAACAAATACTCAATAAAATCATAAAAAACACAAAAGTTTAACAAAAGAATTATGTTTTCACTTACCCATTTCGTCTCTCTCTCTCTCTCTCTTTGTGTGAAGAACTAAACGGCGATGTTAATTGAGAAACCCTAATAATTGGCAGCTGATAAGAGAACAGAAGGCTGCTGATCTCGCACGTGCCAAGAAAAATTATGGGCTTATAAAGTTTTTTTAGCCCAATGTGTTATAAATTTGTTGGGCTTTGCTTCTGTGCAATTTGAGATCCATTCTGGTTCTTTATCTTCGAAATCTTTCCACAAATAGCCGGTGAATTCACTGTTTTTTTTCTAGCCAATATATACATTATACAATGATTATACATAATTATATATATTATAAATTCGCCGGTTATTTTAAATTTAACCGCTTAGATAAGCGGCTTTTAAGTTAATTCTTCTTTTATCTTATGTGAATTGGTGACACCAAATCTAGCATAAATACTCTCTAAAATTTAAATCCATTTAAAAAAGAATGCTAAATTTTTAAATCACAATAAAATGAACAATTATGACTTCCCAAAAGACATTGCTCCGATTGAGCTATGAGACACTAATTTTTTTATAGGTTTGGTGTCATTAAAGAATCTTTAGCAACGGCAAGAAATTCGATCATTGTACCTCCTTTTAGCAACCATATCTCTTAGTTGATTGTCATTCCGATCATTAAAATTCTTTAATTACGACACAAATTCGATCTTTATGTTATAAATAGAATTTTATTTATGGTGAATGTATATATTTAGAGAGATTTTAGGGTTTATTACTTGGTGGCTAAGTCACCCTCTCCCTATAAATAGAGGGTTCTATTCCATTGTAATTCATCCCAAAATTCAATAAGAATTTCCTCTCTCTCTTTCTCTGCAATATTGTTCTTGTTCTTTTATTGTTTCATAACACGTTATCAGCACGAGACTCTAACCAATTGAGTAGAAGTTTTGGGATGGAGCATAATGGTTGTCAATTGTTCCATGAACTTCCTTCATGATTAAATTCTGGATTTAAGGTAAGTATTTTACTTTATTTTTCTCTTTTAGATTCTTGACATTCTATAATTTGATTTTAAATACGAGCAAAGACAATAAATTTTGATTATAACTCTAATGAAGTTAGTAAGAAATTATAACCACCCAAAATGGTAAAATAGTTATCCCTTGCCATGATTGTGGGCAAAGAATTGAAAACTCATCCCATTGAATTTGCTCCATTCTCATTCCCTTAAGAGAATGTGATAGCAATATGTGATAAGTCTGAAAGAAGACAAAATTATTACCATGAAGGTATCAATGAATGTGGACGTGGCAATAGACGAAATTATAATCGTCATCATTGTGATAATGAGAATAATAAGGATTCTCAAAATAATCCTTCACTCTCTGAAAGTAATATTTGTCATCGATTTGACATGAGATTTTATAAAGCACATATAGATGATTATGGTCCATTCATGATGTGAATGTGACAACATCTGATTTATGAATAGATATTCATTCTTGGAGGAATATGAACGTGCTAGTGGTAGTGAATATACCACGCTCACCTCTAAAAGGAGGTTTGAGAGGAAATAAGAAAATAATGTCATTATTATGGCATAAATGGTCATTGGTCACGTACTTATTGTACGCCAAAATATTTTGGCATTGTGATTATTAAAAGACAATGGTAATGCAAGAAACATATCTTGCACATAATTTTGACCATAACCATAATGGTATAACTTTCTCTTTAAAAGAGATATTCACCATATGGATGTTGATAAATATGTGGTAGTACAAAATTTATTGAGAGTTCTGGAAGAGCCAATTATTACTATTTTGGAGAAACACAATTGATTACCAATAAGATATTGTGTTGTAGTAAGTCTCGAAGAAACTTATTCAGTTTCCAAAGTATACGCGAAAGCGGTTGATTATATTGAGACTATAAATAAAGGAAAGATTTAATATCTTCTTTTACTACAACTGGTAGCGGGATAATATGTATGTGAAAAGCTACCCGCTTTATTCTCCAGTTTGTACTACCCAAACAAAAAAATGCCACAATAAAGAGAAGTTTATTGATATAAAAACCTATATCATAATAAACGTGGAGTTTATTGATAACTGCACACGTCATGGTGTAAATCTGAACTTTATCAATATTGATAATTTATTCAGTTGGCATAATTGGTTTAGCCATGTTAATTTAAGTATGATGTGCAAAAATAAAAGAGAATTCACATTGGTAAATATTAAAAAACTAGAAAGTTCTTTACGAATTCTCTTACATTGCTTGTTCTTATTAATTAATAGACCAACTAAAATTGGGATTGAATCCCATGAATGCTGAAAATATCAAAGGTGAATATGAGCCCATTCACCTGCCATGTATACCACATAAGATGCATCTATGAGATGGTTACATGTGCGATTATTAATAACCTGCAACATGGTGTTTTGCGAGGTAACTTGCTCAATAATTTAATTTCGAGCATAATTTCCAGATTTCCTATTCAAGATAGTTTATCTTGATAAGTTGGTTTACATCATAGTTGGTTTAGCAAAATAATTTATTGAGTGCCTCCACTTAATAGCTAAACAATTGCTTATGAGAACAAAGTTGTCTATATCAGTTTGATATACGTTATATACCAAAGTACATTATTTTCTCCCTTCACAAGTGGTTCAGGATCAGGAACCAAATAATTTCATCTTATTATTATTGATGTGCGGTGTATATTTTGATTAACATCTTAACGCACAAAGATGGGTTCTCAAAGTTGAGGAAACTAGTTAGTTCTTCTAACATGAGGGGGAGACATGATAAACAGTTGAGAAAAAGTTACGTGGAATGAATTATCAATTGTACATTTAGATCCTCGAATAAGATCATAGAACTTGAAGTTCATAAAAGGATAATTCATCTGCAATATATTGCATGCCGGACGCATTTGCTGACCCAAATAAAGTAACTATATTCTCATTGCAAATGCTCCTATTAAGCTATTAAGTCCTAGAAGGACAAAGTCTATGGTAAGCTTATAGCGTATAGACAAATCGGTTTCAAATAAACTTCTTGATAAAGAAGATGAGCAAATGATCTAAATGATCATAATAAAGGAGGCAAGTGATCTAGAAGATCACATGACATAACACTTCATAAAATCTCATGAGAGATTCAGGTACCTGAATATATGAATGAAGAGATCTCTATGTTATGTCTTTATGAAAAATAAGGAGGTTGGAACCGATATAAAATGTTTGTCAACGACATTGATTATAGCACTAAATATATATATGAGGATCTTAAGTCTGGAGAAACAGTTCAAGTAGAATTGATTTTATATGAAAGACATGTAGTTTTGAACATGTAGTTCAAACACTTGAAAGTGTAAAGTCAATGGTACGTGCAATCAATTTTCGATATCTTATATATCTAGCATGACATGAAAACTTGATATGCATCTAAAGTCTACTATATGGCTTATATGACTTAACTTATATGACAATCCATGAAGGATTTAAGTTGCTCGAAGCATATACAATTCTTGATCTTGAAGTACCACTTCCTCAGTGCAATTTGTGCACAAATATTTCTTGCTATAACTATAGGCATGATAATATGATAGCAAGATTTTTTACCTCTATGTGAAAATATTGAACTGACGATTCCAACAAGATCATATGAAAACAATTAATCTCTATCAAGAATGATGATTTCAAGGTGCAATATATTCATTCAAGTTAATATGGCTGATTTGTTTATCAAATATCTATCAAAGATCTTTTGAAGATGGTGCACAAGATTGGGATGCAAATGCTTAAGGATGTGAATTGATGCTCTTATCAGGGGGAGTTAATACGCGTTGTACTCTTTTTCCCTTACAAGGTTTTGTCCCACTGGGTTTTCCTTGCAAGGTTTTTAACGAGGTGTGACGACCCAAAGGGTCATCACCGGATTTCTTCCTATTTCCGTGCTTTCGAGGCCTTGAAAACCTCGCTTTTAGTTGCCTCGATTTGCGTGCGCAGTTCGGGCGCGAAGCCGGAAAGCTTTTATGTTGAAATATGTGAACTTTGTGAAAAATTTGAAGAATTTTGATATTAATATTGCTAAAGTTGACTTTGGTCAACATTTTTGGTAAACGGACCCAGACCCGTGATTTGGCGGTCCCGGAGGGTCCGTAGAAAAATATGAGACTCGGGCATATGCGCGGAGTCGAATTTCGAGGTCGAGAGCCCGAGAAATGAATTTTTCTGTGAAATTGTTTTTCTGAAATTCTTAAGGAAAATGGAAACGAAAATTGATTAAAAGACTATGGTATCGGGCTCGTATTTTGGTTCCGACGCCCGGTACAAGTCTTAAATATGTGTCAAGCGCTTTCTGTAAAGTTTGGTCGGAATCGGACGTCATTTGACGTGTTTCGGACCTAAAATATCTAAAGTTAGAAGTTTAAGAAGTTTGAAATGAAAATGATGATTTTGAGGCTTGATTCATGGATTTTGATGTTATTTAGGCGATTTGATCGCACGGTTAAGTTCGTAGGATGTTGTTGAGTTAGGAGCCCCGAGGGCTCGGGTGTGATTCGGATGTATTTTGGGATGGTTTTAGCCTTAGGAATGCTGTAGAAAACTGCTGTTGCTGGTGTCTGCGATCGTATACATTCTTCTGCGATCGCGTAGGGTTAATTGATCAGGCCCACTTTCTGTTCTATGCGATCGCATGAACTCCTCTGCGATCGGTACCTTAGCCCCTTCATTCTTTGCGATCGCATTAAGCTTCCGCGATCGCGTTTCATTAAACCAACCCCGGTATGCATAGCCCCTTTTCTTCTATGCGTTCGCATGACCCATTCTGCGATCGCAGTGGTCAATTTTCCCTTCCCCTATGCGATCGCAAGCCTCCTTCTGCGATCGCATAGAGTAAATACGCCCAGTTATATTTTTATGTCCAGAACAGTAGCAGCACGGGATTTCTCATTTTTTTTCACACGAGCTCTTCTCTTAAACCCTCCATAGACGAAATTCAAGCTCTCCTTCCTCCATAACTCTTTGGGTAAGTAATCTTAACATCATTCCCTCATTATTTCTTCATCTAATTACTAATTTCCTAGCCCTAAATCATGAAATCAAAGTAGAAATTAAGGGTTTTGGGTAGAGTT